AGCCGTGTTCCAGTTTTTACGTGAGGAGGAGAACTTGTGAGCTATTTTTCAGCAACGGACACTATTGCAAACCAAACGCTTTTTTTTTTTTTTTGGAACCTTCTTGTTGGTCATTTGCGAAATAGTTGGGTTTAGTCAGTGGTCACAAGTCATGATTCCGATCGCATGCAGATCTCTCTGCTTTTGGTTGTCCAGGTCACAGCAAACTCCAGGATTTTGCATCATTTGATTGGTGGAAAAAAGAGTTGTTTGTTTTGGCTGTACAGTAACAGTTTTTTAAGAAGCATGGTAAGATTTTCACAAGCAAATACTTTTTATTAAGTACCTAATTCTTTGCATATAAAACACCTGACATTATGGCTATTAATTGTACAAAGTAGTTAAACTGAGTCTTAAATAGTAAAGGAATAACATTTGGTGGCCAGTGTTACTGATAAACTGGCTTTCATTAGTTCCTAATAAAAATGAAGGTCTTTGTGGAAAAAGGGAAAACTCTAACAAAGAAGAAATGCATCTGAGATGGATTTTCCTCCCACTTTTTCTTTCTTAAATATACCAGCTTTTAGTCTTAAAAGTGGGTCGAGTTCTCCTTCATATTAGTGTTCCTGATTTAAACTTCTCAGTGAGTGTAAGTAAGTGGAAAGCTGTTACAAAATGTTTAACTGATAGACTTAGCTCAAATAACATGGTATGTATGACTCTCTTGTAAAGCTCTATTATTATATTTTGCTAACCCAATTTTATATTTTCTTATTCCCTATTGCACATTTTCAAAGTAGATAAATAGCACCTACTAAAAATTCTAACAAATGTACATTGCTTTAAGTAATTACTGCAATATTATAAATCTAAATAAATCCCATTATTTTGAAGTCAAATAAAAATCTGTGCTGCTAAATGCCTGCTATAAAGTTGTTTGTGGGTTTTTAATGCAATCTTGTACTAGATTTTTCATAAAGCATCCTGCATAAGCATTGCATAACTCTTCTTATGAAATGTGTAAAGTGGCATATTTGGATATTCATTTCTCAAAGCATTCCCTGATCCCTGAACTTACAAGGGCTCATACATGCTATATTTTATGTATGTGCATGTGGACCTCGGTAGAACTTCTCAGGTGCATAAATATTTGCTGAATTGGGGACTTAATGGTCAGGTATGTATTTCATAAGCTTACTTTCCACATTTTATGGATACAGTTGCCCATTTAATATGCATATGCAATTAATACAATTGTGAGCATGGGTTAGCACCATATGTGTATGGAGAATTCTCTGAAAACTAATTGATAGTGGACACTTGACTTGTACATTTTCACAACTTCATACAAAACTCTTCAAATAATACTGGTAACTTACTTGCCTTTAAAAGATGATTTTTGGAGTATGGTCACATGAACAAGTCACTGCAAGCTAAGGTTGGGTATGAACTTATATAGCTTCTGATGCTCCATAGTAGTAGTGGCCTGTCTGCATGTTCTTACTGTACTTTAACTGAGGAGAAAGTTACCTTGCATTTACTATGCTGTAAGAGCATGCGTGTAGCTAGTTACCATGGAGTAGCTGTCATAATATAAACTTACACTCTAACTTGTCTCATGATGACTTGTTTATATGCTCCTATCCTTTCGTACCAAAATAGAGCTCCGGGTTATTAAGGGTCTTTAGTTCATCACTAGTATAGATAGGCATAATATTACTGAAAACACATTGGCTACCAGAGGTGAAAGGTGTGTGTTGAATGAAGCAAGGGATTATAGGAAGACTGTAGTCTAGTTTGTGCCTCCGCTACATATGAATCACATGGCTGATTCTCCTTCATGCTATCTTGATGCCCAGCAGGGGAGCTAATGAGGAAGCAAAAAACCCCCCAGACACTATCCTAGCTCAGCCTGGAGCACTGAGGGCAATCTTTAAAGAGAATATCTGGAATGTCCCATAGTCCTGGGTTGGTAGAAGCATTCTTAGTTGCTCTGTGAGGATGGCATTTGCAAAGACCATTGCACACTATTTAGCATTGAGGTGAAGCACACTAAGCAAGGTTATTCAGAATATCTTTTTAGAGTTTGTAAGCTGCTAAGACCAAGACAGCCCCTGAGCATGTGCAAACGACTCCCCCCCACCCCCCCAAAGGCTTTTAACAAGGAAATGTGGACAGATTTTTACAGGGGCAACACAAAACTTGTCCAGAGTTTCTACTGCAAAGCTATGGGGGTCTTAGAGCGATTCAAAGGAAAGGTTGCCTACATTCTGCAAATTTTTCTCTAAGACTTATTTTCAGAAAAGGCTGAAACAATTTAGATGAAATTTTCCAAAAAAATCAGCTGGAGGCAGATAGCCAGCAGGTAAAATCCTAGTCCAAGCAGTTAATTTGACAAGGTTATGAACAACTTTAAAAAGGGTCTCATTATGGCGAGAACTACCAGTTATACCTCTAGTAACAGTTTATTTTAGAATGCATATTTTTGCTATTTCTAAAAGGCAATATTTTATTATTAGATAGATAAATAGTTTTTTAAAAAGCTGAATATAATGGTATCCATACTAGAACTACATACACTATCTGTAAAATTGTAAAACCTCAAGCGGGGGGATAAATTCCTACTGCACTCAAGTTAAAGCACTAAATTAGTGTCTGCAAAATAGCAAGCATTAAAACCTGTAATTTGTCAATTTAAAACAGAAAAGTGGTAAACTGTCAAATTTCTGTGCTAATGACCTCTCAGAACATACACACACATTAGGTACGATAAATTAGCTGCGTATTTTTGTAAATGTCTCATAGGGAAATTTAAAGGAACTTTTTTTTAAATTAGTTTGAATATTAAAGTGTTCTTCCCATCATACTTGCTCAGACTGGGAATGCATTATTGATAAACAGAACACTGGAACCCAATAAAGCTAAGACTTTTTTTTTGCTTTAGAAAAGTGTATCCAAAGCAGCCTTCCTTTATTTATTATGCATTGCAACATGTCTTTAAATGATGATCAGAAAACAGTTGCTTAACAGGAGAAGCTTTCTATCCAGAAATGGAACAGGGTACTACTCCACTACTCCACAGTTTTATTTGCATCTTTACACACCATTGGAGGAAGAAAAGGCATTCTGAACAAAAGGAAATATTTAAAGGTGTTGTGGGTGAAATTCAGGGTCTGTCAGAGTTGGTGGCAAAAACATTTCCCATTAATTCCAACAGTGCCAGGATTTCATTCTGATTTTTTTTTTTTTTTTAAAGGCCTCTCATAATGTCAGGCATTGGCGTGGAGGAAAGAAAGCTCCTCTTCTATTTACTGTACTATTACACAAGGTGTTACCAGTGTTTCCTTTACTTTACTTTACTTTACCATCTTGATGTGCAAGGCTGAGGAAATAAGGTTCTGCAACTCCCCAGAAATGCCCCTGTGGTGGACAACTTGATTACTAGGCTTAGTACCTGTTTCCTCCTGCCTTCTTTTTTTTGTCCCTCAAAGCTTTGACTGACACTTTCCCTCACTTCTCTACAGGAAGTTTGTTTGACGCAGGAATCCCTGCATTAAAAAGGGGGAAGGGAGACTTAAGATTGATTAGAGAAACTTGATAACATTGTATTAAGACAGAAAGTTGCCTCCTGGGGAGATTTAAACACCTCTGCTGAGGTGGGCATGGGTGTCTTATAGTGTGATAAAATTCAAGGACAGAGCCAGGATTTGGGGGGCTGATCAGATTCTTAAAATCATCAAGAAGCTTCAGTGGATAGTATAAACCATGTGAAACTAAAAAGCTGTTACACAACATGAGGATTCATTTAGTTAAGTACCCACACATTAGAATAAACACTCTTATTCTGATAGACTTATACCTACAATAGTTAAGACTTTCCCTGCCTTTAACTGTAACAACATAACAGGTGTATAACCAATCTCTTAAATTTTGCTGATATCCTGAAGTTTGGAAAGATTTGTCGCTTCATATGGTTTATTTGTCACAGCCTGCCAAGTCTCCAGTCTCACTGGTACAGTTATGTGTGAATGTTTTTAAATAAGAAACTATGTAATTTTTGCTGGTACTGTCAGGCTGATGGAGAATGAATTATTTTATGTAGCTAGTAGACTGAATAGATTTAAGATTTTTAAATCTTGACCTAGATGTACATTCACCAGGGGGTTCATTCAGTGCATATTCATGGTAGATTGAAACCTATAAACAACTTCAACGTAAGGATAGGAGCCTAATCCTATTTCCACCTATTAGGTGCCAAAGTATGATCCTATTGCACCTTGTTAAAGTCAAATTTAAAAAGAAAATGTTAATGCGCATACTTTTGTAACATGCCCTTATCTTTGGTTGAGAAACACTATTCTAAGCTAAGTGTCATGGCACTCTGGGGTACCTTGAGATCTTTTCAAGGGTACCATGGGGTGCCACACAGTGTTAGCACTGTTAGGTGCACAAGTACGGTTCACAAAATAAACCCAGGGATCTCAAATAGGAATCCATAATGTCTAAAACAATATCACCTGTTGTGATCATTCTGAGTTCTTTGCAAGAGAATTGGTCTACTATGTTTCTGTAGTCAAAAAATGAGAACAAACAAAGCTGGCATTTTCTGAGGGCTGTTACAAGTCTAAAAAGGTTGAGACCCACTAGCTTACAAGAAAATCCTGAAAAAGCAATGAGCTAGAGAAAGATGCATTTGTGCTCACTTTTTTCAGGGACCCAAGCAGGGTGGAATATAATTGCATGTTGTTGCCTACATCCACTTAGGTATGTAATATACAGAACAGGGCCAGGCCCCATATTTCTTAATGTAGCTACTACTGCATAGTTAAAAGCAGTTGGACTCTTTTCCTGGTTGCACCTGTAGCCGCACTGTTTCCCTATTAACATTAATCCTGACCTGGAGACTTCATTCTTCTTAAGGGTCAGGCAGAAGGCAGGGCAGGGTGGCACTGTAAAGACTAACTCATTCAGAAAGGCATAAGCAGTAATAGGCTACAGCCTATTTCATCTAGGAGAGATGCTTTCTTCTTGCTTGTTTTAGTTTTGTGATTTAGTGTATCTAGTTTGCCAATAAATAAATAAAACCTCACTGGCAAAGTACCTCAAGGAGGCTACCACAGGGTAAAATAGTTATTACCTTGATCTGGAAACATTAGCATGCTGTCTCACATTTTATATACTGCATTGATTTCAAAAGATCTCAAAGCACTTTATACACTAACTGTTACACAGAATTAGTTCACTGACAACTGAAATGCAGCTATCTTGGGAGCATAATGCAGCAACTGGTACAGTGCATAGCAACCCTGACAAGTGAAACATATTCTGCCTAGTTGTAACTGCAGAGGAGAAGCTAGGTAAGAAAAATATAATTATCAGATGTGAAGTTTGGCCTGAGCAGACTTTGTGCTGGGACAAAATTTTCCTTAAAGACAGACTTCTACTATGTACTAGCAGAAACACCTTTTGTTGGTCTTACATGCATTTATAATGTTGATGCCTTTAGAAGCCTGACAGCTAATTAAGGTGCATGTCTTGGCAGGCAGCTGAACTAAGTAAGTAATCCAGAGAGCATGTCTACATTGTCAAGGACTGCTCTAGGGAGCACAGCAACAAGACACAGAAGACTTCCTCTGTTCATGTTGCAGTACAAAAGAGTGTGCTTCCTGAAGTCAGCTCTGAATATGTGCACTCAGCTTTCTGTTTTGGGTACACTTTTTGGCATGCCCCAAGCAAGCACTGCACTGAGGCAGCTGTATTGCATCTATTTTCAGGTGAAGCATACATAGAGTCCATGTGCTGTGCTTTACTGTGGCAGTCCTCAAATGGCCCGTTGATGGCACAGAGAAGCCCAGAGGCTGGTACTTTCAAGTTCTTGGGTTGAATATCACGTTCTACCTGCTTAGTTTTCTGGCATTTTTCCAAAGGGCTTAGGTTATGTGTGCTGCTGGTTGTATTGGCAGTGTAGTAGACCAGGGGCATAGCCTGGAGCTGTCATTTGCCTCACTGGGCTCCCCACGGGTCCAAAAATTTGGCACCTGAGAAACAGTGGCCACTCACCTGCTGCTGAATTTCCTGCCCTGTAGGTAACTCCACTGGCCAGATGAAGTGGCCCTGTGCACTGGACCCAGTCCTGGCACGTGAGGCTGCACAGGGGTGCCAGAGATCAATCCTGGCACCAGGTTTGGTCTCAGCCCAAACCTGGCATGTGTGGCTAGGTAGGGGCTTCATTCAACGTGCATGCCAGCCTCGTGCCACTCATCTGGTCTGGGGGGGCCAAAGGTTGAGGACTACTTGTATAGACATTTCCAAACTAGCTTGCAATTAGGTAGCTCAACCACCAGCAGCAACCTAGCCAAGCTGCTGGACATAGATTTTTTTTTTTCCACTGGCATTAAGATCTATGCTGCCTCAGCTAAACTCTTAGTGGTAGCCTCACTAGCCCTACCTAACCAGACTACAGTATTGAAATGCCCTTAGAGCTTCCATGATCTAGCTTGCAAAATTGTTGTGCAATGAATCCGGGCAGGCTAATGTCCCAGAATTACTGTCAGAGTATAATGGTAACATTTAGAGGCTCCATTCAGAATCGGGGCTTTACTGTCCTAGGCACTGTACAAACAGAGTAAAACACAAATCTAGGTCAAGCAGTTTAACTGAAAGCAGCTTAGCTCTAGACATACTGTCCTCTTAACTTCTACATCACCCTATCTTTAGCCACCGTCCTCTAGTTCTGCTATCTCCATGTCATGTTTCTTTATTCTCATGCCTCAGTGTGTACTGGTGTATATTTGGCCAGGAACCTTTTTTTCCTGTTATATAAGTGTCGTTTGGCTGAGGTTTTTCAGTGCCTTGGCCATGTCCGTGTATAACTGTCTTGCAGATTTAGGATGACTGCATGTTACTGTAAGTGTCATTTTAAACTCTTCATGTCATCTTATTATGGTACTTGCAAAGCCAGCATAAAGGTTCCCAAGAAGTGACAGTACCAAGAAGAGTCTTCTCAGTCTCTCACTTCTAGTCAAGAATTGTGTCCCAGATATGTGGATT